TTACATTTAGTGAAATTATGTGCATGTGGTGTTTGCCAGGGGAGATGCAGCGGACTCCTTAATCATGTAAAGATGATAATTTAGTTGTTACACTTGTTGAAATGATGGGATTAATTTTTTTTTAAAGTTTGCAAACTGGAGGAGGATGTGAAACATTAATTCAGTTAGACAAGCAAGCCCAGAACTGACAGATCCTTTCAGCCAAACCTGGTGCTGGAGACACTGCAGGTCAGGGGAAAGAGTCTGTCCAGAAAGCGCAGACCATCCCTGAGCCAAGACCAGGGTGGTGCAGTGAGCTGTGCGACTTCAGAGGGGTTCATTTCTGTCTCTGGTCTTCCCTTGTCCAACAGAAGAAGACAAGTGTTTCTCAGAGCATGGCCTGCTCTAGGCTTCAGAGTGTCATGAGGATGAAGGGGGAGGTGGGCAGATGAGGGCTTGGGGAGGGTGGCGGAGTGTATGGGGGATTGTATCTGGATTCTCTTTCGGGGGCCAGTTACCTTGCGCAGTCTCTCTTCATTCCTTGTCAGGTTACCCCCAATTCCAGAACATATCACCTGATGTGGGATTGGCTAATGAAATCAGCAGATGGCTCTGGCTCTAGGGACTGGTTAGGTATAATCACATGACCCAGGTCTGGCCAATCAGAGCTGACTAACAGTTTCCTGGCTTCTTGCCCAGAACTTTCTAGAATGAGGTGTTCCGGTTTCCTCTGCGATGGCCAGGCAGGAGACTGGACACTAAAGATGTGGGGTCATCTGGGCCCTGACTTGGGAAGAACCAGTCAACAGAAGATGCAAAGTGGGCCACGGTGAACACTCCTGTGGCCTCCGAGGCTGAGGCCAGCTCCTGCCGCAATTCCGGGTTGAGTTTCTCCGTGCATGGCCACATAATCTGCTGTGATCCAACCGTGTCCCTGTGTGGGGCTGGTGAGGTGCTCCGTAGGCGGAGTGCTTGTCAGGCACTGAGGACCCAAGTGCAAAAGCAGAGTGAGGCAGTGTGAGCCTATAACAACCCCAGCGCCCGTAACGACCCCAGCGCCTGTAACGACCTCAGCGCCGGGGGAGCAGAGCTAGGACTCTCCTGAGACTCCTGGCCAGTTCTCCTGGATCCCTAAGTTTCCAGGTTCCCCCAAAATAAGATACAGGTAAAGGCTTACTTCCAAGCCTGATCACCAGAGGTTGATTACTACGTGATGGGAGGAGAGAACTCAGGCTGTCCCCTGACCTCCACACACAACCACACCCATGCGTAGAGGAGGCTGAAGAGACCGCCCGGCAGTCAGGAGCACAGGCTGTCCTTCCAAAGGACCTTCCCAGCACCCATAGCAGGCGACCCCAAACCACCCATACATCCAGCTCCACAGCATTCAGGGACCTCCTCTCACCTCCACGCAGATGCCCACGCAGAGACACGAGTAAATAAATCTCATAAATGAGTTAGTTAAATTCAAGGTAGACAGTAACTGGGAAGACGCTGCTGCCAGCTGCTGGCCTCTCTGAACTTGCACACACTTACATTGCACATGCACACTTACACACTTACATGCACACACACACGCAATATAAGAAAAAAAAAGTTCACATGCTGAACTACTGTGAGGTGGCCCGAGGGAGGCCATCAGGCTTACACTAAGTCACCAGTGTGGGGCCCCGACGTGGCAGTAGCGGGTTTTTGAAAAGAGGAAGAGAGACCCAAGCTGGCAGGCATGCTCTCTCTCCTCAGGGCCCTCCACCATGTCAGCACACAGCTTAGGGTCCTCAGCGATGCCCTCTAAGTGCAGATTTCAACTCCGAATAAAATTACCCCTGTTAGGAATGATTTATTCCCACGCAGCCTCTGTGAACACACCCAGGCTCCTAGCTCTCTCCACCTGGAGCTGACTTACGCTTGCCTATTTTACAGAGTTCTACTCTGAAAGTTTGTTTGAGCCCAGGATTCCTGAGAAGCGGGAGGAGGTGGTTCCCAGGGACCCTTTTGGCTACGGTGTTTCAGATGATGAAGGACATGTGCATGCCTGTGTAGTGCTGACATACTCAGAGGGGCCATTCCAAGTGGCCCTTGAAGGATTCATAGGAGTTTTACAGAGAGACGGAGCAAGCAGGTGAAATTCTAGACCGAAGGAACAGTGTGCCGAGATGGTGCTGTGGAAGGATGGGAGCCTTAGGAGACTGGAGATGATACGGGCAAGCAGGGAGGCCCATGGGGAGCAGCCTCCAACATCGTCACCAAGGGGGTGGACTATAAAGGATGTGGTTCTGGGCAATTGTGCTGCGTCCTTGATCAGGGGAGGAACAGGCTTCATGGAGGACTATTTGCCTGAATCGGATGGGTAGATGGACTCCATTCTGGGTGTCTACGCTGAAAATGCCTGGTTCTTTGCCAGGAAGAATAGACACTCATCATCTGGGGCCCCCGGCCCTCAGAGCCTGCATTCCAGAGTCGGCTGTCCACCATTCCCAGCTCTGGAATCTGAGCTCTGAGTTGAGGAGGTGCCTGGGAGGAGGCTGCAGGGTAGAAACGGAGAGAGGATGGGAAGGGACTTCCCCAGGCTAGCCGCATGTAATTGGATTTGATTTACAGCTGTCTCTCTAGTTCCCAGGGGAAACCAAGCCTTTCCCACCACACTGGGGACTTAGAATCAAAAAATAGGACAGACGGAGACTTCTCACAAGTTCTGAGCTGCCCTTCCTTGCTCTCCGAGTCCCTTGCACACTTGGGGCTCTGGTGTGAGTTCTTCCCTTCCTTGTGCATCCTGACTAAGGGTGGTGGGGGCCGTGCTCATGGCTGGAAAGCACAGCAGTATGAACTGCACACCTACTGTGAGCAGGCATAGGCTGGCTGTTTCCCATGTGTGTCCACATCCAATTCCCCTGAAAAACCCGTGAGACAGAGACTTCAGTTGACAGGGAAGGAGGTCCACAGAGGTGGGGTCACCTGCCGAAGACCTCAGCTGGGAAGGTGGGACAACCTGCCTGCCACGGCCAGGCTTTAGATGTGGGAAGGCTGGGCTGCAGGCTATAGCCCTCAAAGTTGCACCAAAAAAAAAAAAAAAAAAAAAAAAAAAAGATGAACAGGGAGGAGAGGATGAGACGGTAAAGGGAAGAGGAGGAGAAAGAATCAGAATTCGACTTCTTCCAGAGGGTTGGGAGCATGGACAAGTACCCCAAAACCATCCTCTAGAGAAGATGGAGGCTGCAGAGGGATGAGGAATGTCAGGACGAAGGTGAGCAGTAGGTGATGGGTGACTACATGTATCAGAGACTGGGGGCATAATGTTGGCTTCAAAGGTACACCTGCAATGACCTAACTGTCCCCTGCATGGCCCACCTCCTAAGGGTTCCACTGCCCACAACAGCACCCCAGCCTTCAATACATGGCCTTTGGGGACATTTAGATTTGGATTCGCCATGACCACAGGGCCACTTAGGAGCCATGGGCTCTTGTTGGGCTCTTGGGAAGAGTCCTGCTACAAGTTGGAGGAATGTAGGAGGGCTGGGTATGTGCCGGGTACCAGGCTGTGGGGTGGCTGAGTCCTCAGAACTGAAGTATTCCCTCCTGGAGGGAAGATGGATGCTCAAGACTCAGGAGGTTAGGGAGCTCACAGGGCTCACAGACAGCTGCCGAGGGTGGGAGACCCTTCACTGGCGTTATTTATTTTTGAATTTCCAGGAGCACACACTTGAGAGGCCTTTGAACTTTTAAAGAGATTTTAGCATTTTATAGAGACTTGGGGATTTGAAAAATACTTTGGAGATTTTCTTAGAACTGTAGGACTTCTGGTGTTATTTATGTTTTATTGTAATATTAATGTGAGATCTGGGGGATGAACAAGAAAGAAAAGGTTATAGTTTAACAGTGGTGTGCTTGTGTGTCAAGTTGACGGGGGTCAGTTATGTTGGCTACTTTTATGCCAACTTGACACAAGCTAGAGTCATTTTGGAAGAGGGACTCTCAACTGAGAAAATGCCTCCTTAAGACTGGCCCGTAGACAAGCCTGTGGGGCATTGGGTTGATATGGCAGGGCTCAGCCACTTATGGGTGGTGTCACTCCCTAGGCTTGTGTTCCTGGGTTCTATAAGAAGCAAGCTGAGTGAGAGACAGGGGCCAGTTTATGGTTTCTGTCTAGGGCCCGAGGCCAGAGCTGCTCCAGGGGGACAGACACCTACATCTCTGGCAGTAAGTGTGTATATTGTGCCCATTCAAATTTACACTAGCAGCAGGGAGGCAGCAACTCCCTCACCGCAGGGCACAGCTTGTCTGGCCTAACATGTGCAAGCACCCATTGTAGGGCCCCCACATGGGCACACACTCACGTTTTGCATCCTAGACACAGAGTGCTCACCAATGCATGCCCACCTGCAGGCAGCTCTCACACAGACCCAGGCAAGCACGCAATGGCCCAAGGCAGGCACATGTGTGCACATGCACACACACTTTTACACACACGTGCACACACACTCTTACACACACATGCACACACACACTCTTACATACACATGCACACACACACTCTTACACACACATGCACACACACTCTTACACACACATGCACACATGTTGGTACAGACCGACAGACACACACACACCATGATGCACTGTTGCTCAGGCACAGTGCCTGCTTCTGCCTCCAGGCCCCATGTGCAGCCATGGTCCCTAACACCCGGGGCTTCTTACAGTTTCCTGAATCCTTTTTTTTTTTTTTTTTTTTTACATGGTTTGCGTTTTCAGCAAGCCCCTCCCACTGCCTGGAATGCCTTTCTCATGCATCTTTCCAGAAAACTCTTCATCAGTCTACAAAACCCAGTCTTGGCATGCCACCCGAAGAGGGCTTTCCAGTATCACCCTTCACTCCTCAGGCTCTTCAGCAGGCCCCCCATCTGCAGGCTTGTTTATCTCTTGGTCAATCTCTGGCAGCTACTCAACTAGCCACATTCCATAGGTTAGCAAACGAACCCTGCAGGCTGTGCCTTGGGGACAATGCCTTTCACATGACTCCATAGGACCAATGAGGACTGCAATGGCTGACACCTGCTGCTTCCTGTGGGTACTGAGCTGAGTGCAGCACCAACCCTCCACACTTGGAGGAATAGATAAGGAGGTGTGGCACCAGAACACTCCTGGGATGTGGCCACGGGGGACTGTCCTCAATCCAGGTGAGTACAGAGACCAGGACTTCTGGCAGAACATGTCGGAAGTGAGTCCCGCTCTCAGGCTGCAAATTCCTCCTACTGGAGTCTCTGGACGCAGGTGACTCTCTGTCCTGATCTCTGTCGATCAGGAATGCCCAGGCATTGCTGAGGGCCTGGGCACGAGCTCACTGGACCAGAGAGGACTCTGTTCTCAGGAGGGCGGAGAAAGAGTCTGATTCGGAGGGACCTTGGGGGGCTTTAGTGGCTTTGCTGAGCCTGTGATGGAATGTAATCTTTGTAAGGTAATCAGGGCTCTGGCATCTTTGGAGGATGCTGAATCAGGAGGGGTTGGGAGTGGGCACAGCAGACAGATGGTCTGCCTGCGTCACTCGAAGGTGAATGTACCAAGAAGCATGCTGAGCTGCCTGCCGTTTATAGGGAAACAGCAGCAGAAACACAAATGCAGCGCCAGTGACATCACTGGAGGCTTTAAGGCCCATGCAACCTGAGGAACAGCTCATGGGAGACATGCAAGGTAGGGCGGTGCAGGCGAGAAGAGAAAGCTGACCTGGGCGGCTATCCTGCCAGCATGTGCTGTGTGCATTTCTTCCCTGTAGGAAAGGGCACTGCTTGCCCTACCCCTGAAGACCTGATTGTGAACTGCTGGCAAATTTGGTGGACTCACAGGCTGCCTCTTCCCTGATTGGTCCTAGTTTTCATCTTATTTGCATACCCACATTCAGTCACCCAGGGTCCACCTAGCACCCCATGCATTCAAACACTCCAAGACTACAGAACAGGACCAACAACAGGAGCTACTGGAGGAGGGAGAGAAGGAAGCCATCCCAAGACTACAAGGGATTCACTCTCAGAGACCTCCTGAGCCTGAGGTGTTCCTGCCTTGGCCCCCAAGATTCACACTCAGCTGAGCTGTGGAAGGGAATTTGTCCTTGAGGGTGCTTCCTGCTTCTAAGACTCTCTTCTTCTGAGACTGAAAGCTCATCCAGACCTGCTGCTTCTGGCTTCAATGGAGCCTTCTGAGAACAGCAACATTGAGAGGCCACAGTGCACACGGCGATCTGTTTAAGATGGCTAATATCAAATGGAATGACAATAAAGTACTTTTCACTTGGTTGCCCTCTCTGTTCTTGGAAGGGAGTGGGACAAGGACCCACTTGGAAACAAGATCCACCGGCAGCTTCCTTCACACTACTGCTGCTGCAGCTAGAACTAGATGGGAAGCTCTCCTGCCCAAGAGTCCCATCCTTGATTGTAGGACATGGGGAAGTCAGGTTGGACTGAGCTGCTGCACTTCCTCCCTGCTGGTTAGCTTTCTTGGAGCCAGGAGGCACAATGCAGGCTGCTGGAGGGATTGTCACAACAGTCCAGCTCAACCGTGGTCTGTGTGAAACAATATTAACATGCCAGGCAAGATGAACCCACTGATGTGGTAGTGGTATAACCGTTATGGTGCAACCAACAACTTTCCAATTCAGGTAACCCTTCCATTTCCATCCTTCATAGTTGCTGAGTAGGGTTTGATGGTGGCCACCATGTTGAGGGTTTAGGCTTCTCTGACCTTCCGTCTTCAATGTTCATGTACTTCTGTAGTGATTCCAGGGATGGTACTGCCCCTCGAGAGGCTGAGATTAAGAAAAGATGAACTTTTGGATATGAGGGGTAGAAACCTTGAAAGAAGATGGAGAGTCAATAGCATGTCCCCTTTCCTGGGAGATGTGTGAAGAACTTGACATTGTGTCAGGGTCAACCTGGTCTTTGGGGTGGTGTGGATGGTGATGGTGGTGACGGAGAGGCAGATGGTGGTGATGGTGATGGTGGTGCTGATAACAGTGGTACTGGTGATAATGGTGTGATGTGGCAGTGACAGTAGTAATGTGTTGACGATGGTGATGGTGATCATGGTGTTGGTGATGGTGGTGATGATGGTGGTGGTGATATGGTGATGGTGATGATGATGATGGTGATGATGGTGGTGTTGGTGGTGGTGATGATGGTGATGATGATAATGGTGATGATGGTGATGTTGATGATGGTAGTGGTGATGATGTGATAGGGATAGTGATAGTAGTGGTGTATGGATGATGGTGGTGGAGATGGTGATGAGGATGGTGGCGAGTTTTCTTCAGCGTTAGGAATGGAGCCTGAGGCTTTATGCCTGTTAGACAAGTGGTCTACCACAGAAACACATCCAGCCAAAGGTGACACCATTTGAGACTGAGGTAGCATCCCCAGTATGATTGTAGAATACCCAGTTTTGGTTAAACTGCTGTGTGACTTCAGGCCAGGATGCCGATAGACATAGCACCCATCTTACTGAGGTTCTGAATGATGAGCCCTGTGGAGGCAAGCTCTGTTCTCCTCGCTCTGGGGAACGTACAGCATACATCGCAGCCCGGCCCGCTCCAGAAAATGTCTGAGGGAACCTGGTGGGGCCCGGCCACTGCCTCCAGAGATGAGCCAGGCACATGGTGCTTCTGCCAGCCTTGGTGATTTATGCCCCTGCCCCGAGGCCTGGGATGTTTGTTCTCGCTCAGCAGGGAGGCCGGGGAGGGCAACATGAAGAAGGTGTTTAATGAAGTGAGTAGATGTGAGGTGCGCAGCAGGACAGCCAGAGGCTGGGAGCTGGGCCAAGGGTGTGTCCCCAGCTGGGATGCCTGCCTGCCCGGTGCCCTGTGGCTGTGGCTTCGGTTGCCCATGGGAGAAGCAGCTGAACCTGCAGGCCTGAGCAGCCAAGTTCTCCTTCACGAGCAGCGACCTGGGATGGTGAGGGGGAGGCCAGGCTGACCTGCCTGGGGCTCAAACCTCGCACTCTGACCTGTGTTATGCCATCAGGGCCTCCATTTCTTTCCCTGTAACCTGGAAGGCAGAAGGAATTTCGGGAGGAAGGCAGGTCTGAGGGTGGGAGCCTTGTCACAGGCGGCCGTTGCGAGTGGAGAAGGATCCCCCATCGCTAGGGCAGCGAGTTGGCTTTTGAAGCTCTCGTGCCTGGTCCTAGGCCACAGGACTACCCGTCAGTCATCCTGGGTGTCCCGCCAGTGGTCACTGGGCCTCAGGGCACACAGCCCCACACTCCAGCATCGAGAGTGGCATGTGTGAAGGCCTGGAGGTGGGTGGGGCCCTGGGTCTGGCTAGGAGATGATGACACCTGGTGGGTGGCAGGAAGGAGGATCTGGGTACAGGTGGAGGTGGGAAAACCAGAGGCAAGAAGTTCAGGGCGGGTCTGCTTTATTTCTTAGTTCTGTCAGTTCTTGACCTGTGACAAATGTGGGCCTACACACACACACATACACACACACTATACACATACACACACACCACACACACATACACACACACCACACACACATACACACACACAACACACACATACACACCACACCACACACACATATACACCACACACATACACACACACACACATCACACATGTACACAACACATACACATACCACACACACACATACA